TTAAAAAAATGAAAATAGAGGGTGTCACATTAATATAGCAGTATAGTACTAATGCATACAAATACGCAAATTTTGTTGTATACCTAGCATTAGTGGTTTTCCCTATAATTTGAAATTTGTAATAACATAATTGTATTACGAACTAAATTAAAATGTTAATGCATATAATACGACTAAACTAGCTTATGAGATTTTAAAAGCTTACATAATCTATACTAATATTATAAAGAGGTAAAGTTTGTGATCTTGTGAGTTTGTGAGTTTGTGGGTTTGTGAGTTTGTGAGTTTGTGACGTTGTAGGGGGTAATCTCTGGATCTACTGAACCTATTTACAAAATTCTTTTACCAATAAAAAGCCACGTTCTTTCTGAGTGTCATAGGCTATATATTAACCCGAAGAATGAAAAGGCTTTTTCGTGGTAGTCGGATTTGCAAAGTAAGTCGGAGAAAAAACGGTCGAACGAAAACGTTTCTTACGACGAGATACATGATTATGTTCTAGAGAAAAGTTGTAGAGCTTAATAATGCCTACAAAAAAGTCAGCGACAGCATATGTCTAACTTTTATATTTAAGTCACAAAAAATAGTTTTTTATATTAAAAAAATAATTTAAATCGGTAGGTCATTTTTATTGGTCATATTATCAACAATTATGAATTCTTATCAAAATAAGTAAATTTATCGTCTAAAATGTTTAAAACCAAAGACTTTTCCCTTTTACTGTATATAATTTGGACAAATGGTTAAAGAGATAATACAACTTATTCGTAGGTATGGACGAACCCGAGCGAGCTGTTTGTCTGTTTTCCTGTTTGTACGGGCTAATCTCCGAATCTATTTAACCGATTTAAATGAAATTTTGCGTGGTGGTACCTTATATCCCCGGACAACATCTTAGATACTTTTCACCCCGAAAAATTAAAAGAGTTCCCGTGGGATAGTTAAAAAACTATAACAACTTATACAGCTTAGTACACAAAAACTATTGATTGGATTTTAATGAAACTTTACAATAATATAGTTCATACATGACAAAAACAAATCAGCTACTTTTCATTTCAGAAAATTAAAGAGTTTCCGTGGGGTAGTTAAAAAACTATAGTAACTTATACAGTTTAGTACACAACTACTTTCGCACCTAATTTAATAAAATTTGGCATACTGATACCTTATATTGCCGGTCAAACAACAAGTTACTTTTCATCCCCGAAAAATGAACGGTTCCCGTGGGATAGATGTTTGTGCTTTTCTAGAGGCGAACCCGAGCAAAGCGAGGGTGAGCCGCTAGTCTATATATATAATAAAATTGTAACTAAGCCGAATCTGTACATTAAATATTTTTTGGAAAATCTTATTGAAATAGACATTATTATCGATACAGAGGCCGAATCTAATGTTTTTAGAATTTTTGTCTGTCTGTCTGTTACCGCATCACGGAAAAAGTACTGGGGGAATTTTCATGAAATTTGGTATGATGGTAGCTGGTTATCCGGATCAACATATAGGATACTTTTTACCACGGGAAAATATCTCATTTAAGAGAAAAAATACAAAAACTGCAATGTAAGAGTATACTAATATGTAAATCCTAAGAATTTGGTTTTTGATCATCTGAACGCGGGAGGAGCCGCGGGCAATGCTAGTGCTTAATAAATAGGCTGCCTTTTAATTTCGAAGCTTTGTACCTACGTAAGCTGCTCAAAAGTTCGAACGACGTCAAAAAAAAAAAGAAAAAGTATCGCAAGAGCCGCCCCCGGTTTCCATAAGCACGCTTTTATTAGCTTCACTTGTATGTAAATAACTGTATATCAAAGGTAACAAATCGTTGGCTCACAATTATAAGGTTCTATGTTACAATTTTAATACTTATTTCGTTATTAATGCTACAAGGTTCTATGTGTCATTTGCTACAGTTTTGCAAAAACAAACCACTAGATAGCGGTACTATAACTACAAAGTATTCAATTTTCCATAGTTCTATGTTGTTTTTTTTTACGATAACAAAATAACGAAGTTCTATGTAAAAATTACTAAACTTTATTAAAATTAACATAGAGCCTTATAATAGTAAGCCAACGAAATGTAGGCTACATTTATTTATTAACAAGTACTGACATTGGCACTTGTAAGTACCAATACAAGCATTAAAGGGGATGAATGAAGTAAAAAGAATGTATAATCTCGTAACAATAGGTAGCAGTAAAGATATTTTCTTACATTTTTTTGAGTTATCTTTCAGAAAAGAATGTAATAATGAGCTCCTACTCCGTTGGAATCCATTTTCATCCTGAAATAAAAAACAAATTTGTTTGACTCAGTTTGTAGTGACCCTACTTGCTGTACCAGCGGTCGCGGGTTCGAGTCCCGCTTGGGGCATTCATTTGTTTGATGAACACGAACGTTTGTACTCCAGTCATGGGTATTTATACATAAAAATATTTATGTATTTGAAGTTATATATGTGTAGTAGGTATAAAGCTATCTGGTGTCAATAACACAAACCTCGTAGCTTACTATGGAACTAGATGGTGCTGTGTGTTAATGTCCCAACATATTTGAATATAATTTAACCTATGTATATATATAAAAAATATAGACAGCACATTTGCATTATAAATACAATCTAATCTAGGCAGGTAGTAAATGTATATATATATGTATATATCGATTAGATGTATCTATATATGTATTTTATTGAAGCTTTTTTGGATTTTAATAAAATCGGGCGAAACAAACCGACGTATAAAAACTTTTAGATTGTTTCGCCAGCGTTTTATCCCTATGGCATATAAACCCATCGTATTTTGAGCTATTTTCCATATTGTAGATGCGCTTATAAGGCTTTCAAAGCACTGAATGGTCAATTTAAAAAAGAACTGCCTGACAAAGCGATATAATATGTAAAGTTATATATCCAACGGAATTAACACATAATTATGATTGTTAAAAGTATATACTTTACACGTGGGCCTAATAGATGCTCGTGTTACGTTGTGATTTAATTATTAAACCAAAATTCCAACTTGTTTTCGTTATTACCCTTTTTATCAAATATATAGATACGTTTGATCTTTGCAGTACAGTGTATTTTGTATGACTGAAATAATAATGTTCGTTTAATAGATTTTCGGTCACGATGACCAATTTCACTTAGACTAGTATCTACGTCAGATTTTACAGGTACTGGCCACATCTACAACCTTTCATCTACATCACATATATAGTTTGATTATATAACAATCCGATAGGTTTGTACTTTGGAGTGACATCTGAGTCTTCGTACTTTCTAAGGTAGCAAGTGCAACACCACCAACCAAACAATCTAGATAGATATACACATAAAAAAGAGAAATGTACATAAAAAAGAAATGCACAGCACGTGGCCTTATCACTAGAAGCAATCTCTCCCAAGTAACCATAGGATAGAGAAATCAGTATACGAAATAACATACTACTTACTGAGAATATATCTTACTAATATTATAATTGTGAAAGTTTAGATGGACGTTTGGATGTTTGTTACTCAATAACGCTAGAACGGCTGAACAGATTTGAATGAAATTTGTACAGAGTTAAATAGTCTGGAATGGAACATAGGTTACTTTCTATCTCAAAAAATTACAGTTCCCGTGGGATAGATTTGTTTCTGTTTTTCTAGGGACGAACTCGAGCGAAGCAAAGGCGAGCCGCTAATTGTATAATATTTCAAACGAATAGAAAACTTCTATATATAGTCACTCATTTAATCCATCCAGACCGCGAGTGCGCTGATTCAATTTCCGCACCAAGAAATTGCGTAAATCTGAAATCTAAAAATAGAACGAAACGGCAATGTGAAAATTCTAAAAGGGCACATCAAATATAATAAACTAATAAACATTGCAAAATGAATAAACGCTTATAAAAATATCACTCAAGAATTTTTTGAGGTTTTTCTGGTTAATCCAACAATTTATATTGTATAATAGGAGAAAACTTTTGAATTACTGGACTGCTGACAGAAATGATATACCGTATAAAGTATGTTGAAAAATAAGTATATTATCTCATAATACTTTCTTAGATTTACGCGAATATTTGACATTTTAAATAAAACTATCTTTTCGGATTATTTCGCGGATTTATTTTGATTTTTGGTTCCCGACGTTTCGAATGCTTTACAGCATCCATGGTCACGGAAGGGACAGGTGTTACATGTCTTGAAGATATAGTTGTTAGAGACAGCCTACCCACAATTAACAAAATGAAAATTGCACCAATTACCCTACAATATTTTTTAACTTTAAACATTTTTATAATTTTAATTAGTTTTATAATTGAATATGGAATATTATTTATTTAATTTTTGCTGTTATTCTTATAATTATTACAATTTTAAAAATATTAATTAGTAATCTATATTTAGTGTTGCCATTATTATATTTATAACCATAAAGAAAAATATAAAATATAGTATTAATTATTTAAGCCATATAATTGTTCTATGTGTAATTTAAAAAGTTAAAATTAATTAAGGATAATAATTTTAATTTAGTTTGCTATTATTTAAAAAGACAACTTACTAAGCAACACTATTACTATCTAGATCGATTTATCGCCCCTGAAACCCTCGGTATACTAAATTTCATAATTTCGCTGGAGTCGTTTCCGAGATTGAGATTATATATATATACAAGAATTGCTCGTTTAAAGATATAAGATAAATGAAAATATTATATACTAGCGGCTCAGCCTCACTCCATTCGGTTTCACCTCTAGCAAAACAAAAACGAATCTATCCCACGGGAACCGTAGATTTTTCCGGGATAAAAAGTAGTCTATGTTTTATTCTGATATGTTATTGTAAAGTTTCATTAAAATCCATTCAGACATCCTCACAAACTGTCCCATTTATAATATTAGTATAGATACTTTCATATTCATATACCTACTAGATTAATATATTTTCTCGTTAATGTTAATATTTTTTTATTTATAGTAATAATGTGTATTTTCCACAGAGCGCTGTTTTCCGAGTGAAGCATCATCCATATGTCGTGGGGTTTGAGCAGTGCGTCTCATTTGACGCATTTGCGAGCGTCCGCCTTGAAGTCGCCTACAACGTCTTCTGTTTGTGCGCAATGTACTTTGTGCCTTTGATGATCATCACTGTGTGCTATGTGTGCATATTCTGCGAGATAAGAAGAAGCAGTAATGAGCTCACTGGTAAGTAACTCATGGTTTGTATGTCTGTGTCATGTGTGTCTGTTCGTTTACGTAGTAAATATGTATTACGACATGAACTAAGTAATACAACGAAGTCTAGACAGGCAAGGGAAACACGTTCGCTATGAAAATAGTTTTTTTATATATAGTGCACATACCTCAATCAATTTAAATTGTGACTGTGAGTACCTGGGCGACTGAGTTTAGCCTAGTTCGCATTAAGCTAGTATTTTAGTCTAGTAGCGAGTAATTTAGTAGCTAAATTACTCGCTACTCACCTTTATTTATATCGCAACCTTTTCGCTAGGCGTTTAGTAGTCGTGCTATTTTCGGAAAAGACGTAAAAATTGTTTTTTTTTTAATAGATATCTAATATAGATTGACTTAAAAAGAAAAACTTGATCTAAATACAAAATTTGATCCAAATCGTTAGAGCAGTTGCCGAGATACATGAAATAAAATTATACATATTATAGGTATACAAGAATTGCTCATTTAATATTATAAGAGGAGATATTTACTCACAAAACAATTTATTCAAAACAAATGCTTAAGTAGGTACTACTATCTAATATCGTTTGCATTTATACTTAGCACTTAAAGAGTCTTTGTCATTTCTAATATCAATTATACTTCTGAATATTGAAATGCTAATTTATTTATAATAGTATTTGCCTAAAGATCGGAATTCATCAACAATGATTATTGTGAGGATATCATAATATATGAATAGAATTTTCCTATTTATATTAAAAAATAAAATAATTAAAAAAAGTTAAACGGTTTTATTGAAAAAAAAAAGATAATAATGATGTAGATAATGTAATAAAAGCTAAAATAATAATTAGTTAGGTCCTAGGTAGTTCGCCTCTAGAAAAACGAAGACAAATCTGTCCCAAGGGAACCGTGCCTTTTATCGGGATAAAAAGTAGCTTATGTACTATTCTGATGTATGAGCTATATTATTATAGAGTTTCATTAAAATCCATTCAGTAGTTTTTGCGTGAAAGAGTAACAAACATCCATACATCACAAACTTTTACATATATAACATTAGAAGGATTAGTGTAGAAACAGATTAGCCTGCAGCTTAAACGAATTGAGACTCGATGTTTATAAATACATGCAATAAAATATTCTCATGGGAATAAAAGTAGAATTTTAATGAATTAATCCGACTCAAAGTAATTACTTAGTTTTATTTTAATTATCTGAGTGGATCCAAAGATCGAATTACTGTATGTGGTCTTCAAACTTAAAATAATCCTATCATGGGAATATGCTAAGAATGGAAAGTTTATATTCCTCTACACTCTAAAGTACTTAGTGTTTTATGGAGATGATGAATTGGTTCATCTACCTAGCTTCTTTCTCAGATCTAGTATTCCTTAGAAACCTTTACTATAATAATCTATACATATTATAATAAAATATTGTAACTAAGCCAAATCTGTGCATTAAATATTTTTTGGAAAATCTTATTGAAATAAACATATTATCGATATAGTTTTTAGAATTTTTGTCTGTCTGTATGTTACCGCATCACAGAAAAACCACTGGAGTGATTTTGATTAAATTTGGTATGGCGATAGCTGGTTATTCGGGTCAACATATAGGACACTTTTTACCGCGGGAAAATATCTCAGAAAGAGAAACTTTTTGTATTTTTTCTGAGAAAAAATACAAAAACTACAATGTAAGAGTATACTAATATGTAAAACCGAAGAATTTGGTTTTTGGTCATCTGAACGCGGGCGGAGCCGCGGGCAGTGCTAGTATATTATATAATATAATATGATTTAGAAGATTTATCATTATGAATTTTAATTACAACGTAGATCTAAAACATTTATTGCCAATAGTACACATACTTGTATAAACACATCTATACTATAATAAAACAGTAGAGGTCGAACGTCTGTACAAAGCAAAAAAATGCTAAAAACCGAGTCAGTTATCTTCTTACATCCCGTAAGAAGAAAAATAGAACAAATCCAGATTTTTTTCAATTTTTTTGTTTCTCTGTCTGTTTGTCTGTTTGTACGGGCTTATCTTCTAAACTATTGGACCGATTTAAATGAAATTTTGCATGGTCGTACCTCATATACTAGGTCAATATGTAAGGTACTTTTGATTCCGGAAAATTAAAGAGTTCCCGTGGGATAGTTAAAGAACTATAGTTACTTATACAGCTTAGTACACAACAACTTATGCACCTAATTTAGCAAAATTTGGCATGCTGATACCTTATGTTGCCGGTCAAACAACAGGTTACTTTTCATTCCGGAAAAATTAATGGTTCCCGTGGGAACTAATAGATCTCTATTAGTATTTTTCTAGAGGCGAACCCGAGCGAAGCGAGGGTGAGCCGCTAGTCTATAATAAATATGTAGTTGGTATATACTATTTTGGCTCATCAAAAGATTTTCGTGATATTATTTGTATGCTTTAAGTGTTGAGAAAGCTTACTAACACCAGTGACAGCATCCACTTGTTACCGTCTGAGGAGATCAAGAGGAACGAGATAAAGGCACAGAAGAGATAATAGTACTGACGTACAAAGGTTACCCTTTGATTTTGAAGGGTTGCCGCTGTTTAATTTTGATTGCCTACGAAGTTTGTAAAGCACCGCGTTCATTCTAAATCACATCATATCTTCACATACATTAGATCGCAATTCTCTTGTGTTTAGAATTTACCTACATGACTGTTCAAGAGTCAGGGTTTCCAAGCAAATTTAAATAAAATACTAACAAAATTACATTTACAATAGCATATTTATTGCATTTACAATTGTTTAACTTCGATGTGGTGTTGTTTATATTTTTTGAATTTTAACGTGGCAAAATTTCGAAGCTGAACAAATTATTCTACGAGGTACTATACCAGAGCAAGAAATATAATTCATAGGTAAACATCAAATAAATACCTGTTTTGATGTTCTTTCCGAGGCAATTAAATATTGATGGGTATGTGTTGGCAACCGCACGATGGAACTGATTGTGAGACAGTTAAGAGTTGTCTCGGCTGTAGGTACTTTTCATGAAGAATTCGTAAAGGAGAAAGAAGAAAGACAAGTTAGATAAAGTAAATAGTCGATTGGACTTCTGATGATCTCGCTTACCGTTTGGTACGTTTGTAATGAATGTACTTTATTAATAAGACATGGTTTTTCGTTATTTTACTTAATGTAACCCATTTGCATAGATTTTTTTAAAAGTAATGTAATATCACCTAAATCTAATATTCATACTAATATTATAAATGTGAAAGTGTGTTTGTCTGTTTGTCTTTCTTTCACGTCGAAACGGTGTGACGGATTGGCGTGATTTTTTGTGTGGAGGTAGTTGGAGGGCTGGAGAATGACATGGGCAACTTTTTACCGCGGAAGATTATCTAATTATTCCCACGGGAAACACGTTATAATACAATGCAAAAAAATATTTATGATCAGAATTATTTGAAACTTGGTATTAATGCTCTTCAATAGAATAAAATAAATATGTGTTTTAGGATTTTTGAAATACATCCTATAATAGGGTGAAATAGGGGATGAAAGTTTGTATGAAACTACCTTTTTAAAGATTTTTCGTAGTTTTAGCGCGAGCGTAGCGCAGGTTCTGCTAGTTATATATAATACGTGCTACATTTATAAGTATGGATAATAAGGATAAATCACTGTATATTATAAATTAAAGTCTACCATAACATTTCAATGGCTGGTCTATTGAGGCAGACCACAACAACCATGGGGCTACTCTCACGGTCCACTCTGCTGTCCTGCAGATATGACACATAGTACACTGGTCACCGAGGTGGGCCACCTCCCAAATTCTTGGCTTCATGCCTGGCTGGATTGCCGCACGCTAATGAACTCCCCTCCCCTCGGGTAATCTCTGAAACTAATGATCCGGTTGCGAAAATTCTTTCTCTCTCGAAAACGCTCTCATCGCAATGATATTCGTGCGAGGAAATTTCGTCTTTGGTCTACGGCGAATATGGCCATGTGGTCACGTCATCTATTTATTGTTTATACATATCTATGTATGTATACGGTTGCTCTGTACCTATTCTATGGCGATAAATAATGATTTGTTAAAAAGTAAGATATTGAATTCCATAGTATTTATTGGTTTCGTCCGAAATGTCGAAATCCTCAAAAGATATAGCCTGATGTGTGTGGCTATATCTTTTGAGGTTTTCGACATTTCGGTGTCGCTACATTAAATATTCGAATTTTCATGACGAGTGCGGATTAGGCACAATAGATGGTTACTGCTGCACTATCCCTAAGTGCTATAGGCTGACAAATAATTTTATTTATATTGTGTGTTTTAGCCGAGCTACCACGGTTTTTGTCAAAATTTGTTAGACAAAATTTCGCTTTCAACTATAGGATATTATCTACAGGATTCGATTTCAATTATTGGCGGATTTCACATGTCTTTCGAAAACTTGCTGGGTGCTCTCAAATATGCAGGTTTTCTCACGATGCTTTCCTTCACCATAAGACAAATGATAACTATGTTGGAAATTATTCGCACATGAAAATATCAGAGGTGCGAGACAGGTTTGAACAGGCTTAACTGGGTTTCCCAGGCCAGCGTGTTACCAATGAGCTACCACTGAAATTTTACTTAAAAAACAAATATTAATGAAAATACTTAAAAATGAATTAAATTGACAAAAAAAGTAATGTGTTGCTGAGTTTATATACGTACTCGTATGTTCGTGTATGTAAGGTTAATGAGTGATGATGATGATGTTCTCCTAGCCGATTCCGGCCACGGCGGCCAATCTCATTGAGACTAGGCAACTGCGCACGAGATATTATAGTGCACAAGTGTACGCGCCGACACAACGTGCACTCACCATTCCTGTCACTCTCATACTCCGGTGGGACGACTGCTCGACACGACCGGTGAGAGTTAAGACGCAGGACCGACGGCTTTACGTGCTCTCCGAGGCACGGGGATGAAACACCGCCAACTTCCCAACTC